AAGATCACCTTCAAGGGACCTTTCCAACCATTAATTCCGCCTAACTTAACTAAAACTGGCTAACAACTCGTAAGAACCTTACGCTATAGGCTCAAGATTCTAGCGAGCTGGGGGCTAACTGTTGGTGTCAAAATCGGTCACGACGGAATCAATGGCTAAAAGTCTTCGCAAAAATAAAAATACGTTTTATAAAACTCGAGAAGTCTTTTTATAATTTTGATAAGTCGTTTTATAAAACTCGAGAAGTCTTGTAATAAAACTCGATAAGCCATTTTATAAAACTCAAGAAGTCGTTTTATAAAACTCGAGAAGTCGTTTTATAAAATTCGATAAGTCGTTTTATAAAACTCGAGGAGTCGTTTTATAAAACTAGAGAAATAGTTTTATAAACAAAGTAAAACCGCAGAAATTTTGGAAATCGTTATCTCGGAAGAACGAAACAAACGCCGATTACACGATCTTCCGAGTTAAGCACAAAACCGCGAAAAACTACATCCGCCGTAAACTGTGAGCTTGTTCAGCCGAATTAGCTCGCCGTACGGCGAACTATCTCGACCAGAATTAGCTCGCCGTACGGCGAGCTATCTCGACCAGAGTTAGCTCGCCGTACAGCGAGCTATCTCGACCAGAGTTAGCTCGGCGTATGGCGAACTGAACCGGAGGGGCGTCCTGTGTAGCTCGCCGTACGGCGAGCTGAACTGTTCCGGTTTGGTTCATCGTACGTCGAGCTAATTATCCCGAGCCTCGATCTCCCACGTCCTCGATTCAGAGCCTACGTCCTTCGGCACGACCATGTCCCAAACCACGGTCGGGATGTCTCTCGTTTCGTCTCGATCCGTCCTCTTGTTTTCTCGAAAGAACTCAAGGAAATCGTATAAAACGGAAACGGTTAAACGAAACACCGAACATTGCCTAAACTATACAATTTACTCGAGATTTTTTGTGAGGAATCGTAAAAAACGCGTTTTTTAATAAAACTTCGAGTGAATCGTAGAAAACGGCAACGGTTAAACAAAACATCGAACATTGTCAAACTTTACGATTAACTCGAGAAAATTATTTAAAAACGGCATCGCATCAGGAAACGATTTTGTATAAAATCGTAAAATGGTTTTATCGCAAAATTGCTCAAAAAGACCTAAAACGCGATAAAAGCTTATCTTGCGACTTTGACGAAGTCTAACCCGAAGATAGGACGACGTTTTGACGATTTACTCATGGAAAGAAGATAAATGTCAAATTTGAAGATAAATTTCAAGTTTGAAGATAAATACAAGATTTCCGCGGGAAAAAAGGAAAGATCGAAATAAATGAAAGATTCTCGATAAACTCGAATCTGGGAAAAATGGAAAGACCAAACCGCCAAGGAAGGGAGTATATAAGAAAGAGGCATAGGACATAAGCAGAGGACGATTTCCAGAGCTCTCATCTGAGACTTTTACAACTATTCTATACTTAGAATTTTCCGCATTTAGAAACTTATGCTTTATTCCCGACAAGTTCGGTTTCTATGACTGGCGCTCAATTGCTAGATCAAACTCGTCCAGGCAGTTCGATCTCGTTTCCAGATCTACCAACTGAACTATGTTCGACTTGATCCTCGTACGTAGGCAGCCTTTCATAAGGTTCAGTCCGAAATCAATCAAACTCTCTTTTTCTTATCTTTTTCGTCTTTTGTTATCGAGCTGTGACTCGACTAGGTTTAGGGTTTTATGTTGATAACTCGCTGACGGCCCCTGCGGCCAAAGCCTTTGTAATCTCTTGTAAAGATCGCAACGCTCTTCCCCGAATTCGAAATAAGATCAACTTTCTTTCTAAATTTGTTTTAACATGTTTTTCATATTTTCCGCATTTATTTGGTTATTGTTGGGGTCAAAATCGGTACGACGGAATCAATAGCCAAAATTCCCCGCAAACGCGTAAACGCAGCAGTTTTATGAATCTCGAGAGATTGTTTTATAAGAACTCGAAGATCGTTTTATAAGACTCGAGTGATCATTTTATAAAACTCGAGAGATCGTTTTATAAAACTCGAGAGATCGTTTTATAAAACTCGAGAGATCGTTTTATAAAACTCGAGAGATCATCGTTTTATAAAAACTCGAAGATCGTTTTATAAAACTCGAGAGATCGTTTTATAAAACTCGAGAGATCGTTTTATAAAACTCGAGAGATCGTTTTATAAGAACTCGAAGATCGTTTTATAAAAACTCG